CTGAAGTCCTGGCATTCAGGGTCATTGATTCTTTCCATAGTGGATTGCTCCATGTTCCCCCTATGTGTTCCCACAAGAAGAAGTGGAGTAATTGGTGGCACGTGGCTACAAACAGACTCAAGCCAAGGGTGGAGACTCTTTATTTTTGCAGACAAGTCTCTGAGACTATCCTCTGCAAACTCAGCAATATTAAATACAATGACATAAATAGCTTGACTTCTTAGAAACATGTGGAAGTAGGCATGATACTCTTTATCTCCAGCAAAATCAAGAATCTTAAGTTTCAAAGAAGACCACTTCTGATTCAGGGCATTTTTCAATTGTCTGTGGTTTATTACTGCTTTTTCCAACTGTACTGCAGGATACATACTTGGACCTTCGTGGTCATGGCCAGATGCTGATATTGCAGATGCCAACCAAAAGTATTCTTGGTGTACTGTATCACATAAAAGAACAAATAACGTCATGGAAAATCTCTCGCTTAAAGAGGGAAGGCATGCGAAAACAGATAAAAGATAAATAACCCCTAACATCAACTCTGCCCATTGATACCACTCTGGTAATGATTTCAGAATTCGAGGCACTGACTCCACCAAGAAAATAGCAAAGTAAAAGTAAATCATCACGATAGAAACCTGCCCTATAATTTTTGAAAATGCACCGATCAGTGTAACGAAAATGAAGCCTATAGAGATGTTTAAGATGAAACGACTAAAAAACATTACTTCTAGTGGTCTTTGGTTGTTAAACTTCAGTTGACCTGGATGCGGACACTTTCGCTCCAAAACAAAAGATCGTGGGCCTCTTAAGAGTATGTGAGCAACGTACCCAAGAGCGATAACTGTAACTATAAAGAGGATAACTTGAAAAATTGTAATTTTAGATAGCTCGCCGTCATTGATTACACAAATAAAACGGTAAAACACAACAGAATGAAATGCTCCTATCATTAATTCAAGGGGGTTGTTCATAAAACAGTATAAGCTCAGCTTTAATCTCCAATCTTCTTTTGAAGAGAAAACAAACCAAGATTCGCAGAAAAGAAAAATAAAGAAAACATAAAGAAAAGCAATCATTATGAGAACCGCGTAGTAATTTTTTTTTCGGAGGATCCATAATTATATATAATAAAGATGCTATTTGCCCCAGAAGAAGCTCGCGACGACTTTGGCTTTTCCGAAACCAAGATTGCTGGAAAATGACTTCTCCAGCCCTTCCATAAAACATTAGTTGAATACGAATTGCTCGAAAGAATCGGTTTACGCTGCCAAAAGTAAGATCTTTCATATCTAAGTTCTGCCATTTCTCATCAACAAGGCTTTGCTCAATTCCTTGCGTTCTTGCTTCCATTTCGTCGAAAGGCTTTCCAGTGATAGCCCTCACCAGACTTGTTTTTCCAACTCCAGAGTCTCCTAGAACCAAACACTGTCCTTGGTTGACGAATTATTGACACGTTTGCTCTGTTTGATTTTTTTGTTTTTTTTGTTTTTCAGGCGCCCCCGGCCACGGACCCTTTAGTGCAATGGTCAGTGCTGCAACGGCCGGACGACATATACTTAACGGAACCGGAGTGCAATGGTTCCGCCGAGTAACGCCTGAAGGAGGGTACACCAGTACGCCAAAATCGCCCAGGAATCGAACCTGGCCCCCCGGAAGCGCTCCCCGCCTAACGGGGCACCTGAACAGTCGGGGTGTGCAAGGACTGCTGTTGGGTAACGAGTCCCATAATGCAGAGAACTACATGCTATGAGACCCTAACCCGCGTCAGGTAAGTATCAGTGCAGTGCAGTGCTAATGCTAGCTANGACATAATGAAAACAAATTCAGAAACGAGTAAATAGACTGTCATCTTGGTAAGTTTGAACTTTCACAATTACCTCAAAACGAATTTTGATGAACACCATGCGATAGAGGTAAATTTCAAGTGTGAGGCATTATTGGCCATATTGATCTTCATTTATGTGAACTTGATGTGTAGTATCTGACTGACACATTTCATTCTGCTGAAATTGGAAGAGTTTAGTTACTTAGATTTAGCAATACGAGTAAATTTTTTCAAAGACTCACAAAATTGCGTGAGCCCATGTTTTTGTGTTTCTGTTGTGTTTTCTGTGTTTCTTTCGCCAACAGTCGGCCAACAGTTGGCCGACAGATATTTTGGGGAGCGCTTGTTCTTCAATTTTACCAAAAAACCTACATTTTTGTTATAACTAATGGGCAATCTTTTGGTGTTTGAGGGAGAAAGCAGTTACTCTAAAAATTACCTGATGATACTGATAAATAAAATTATCCTCATTACAATGTAGGCTCAGAAAATTTGAACAATTGTTAATTAAGTCAATTAAGTCAATTGTCAACTAATTCCATTTAAGTGGATCTGGTAGACATTATTTGAGGTTGGCACTTTGGGTCCTAGTCCTCAGTACCCCTATCTAAATGGATTTCCTCCATACAACGTAAGCTATTTCTTGAGAACTAAATGTTCAAACTCATTTGTATTCCTGAAGAGAGATGCTCTTGGAGAGTCAAGCACCTTTACCAAGAAAAATGATTATAAAGCCCCATTAGCCACTATCATAAATAAATGGACAACAAATGGATACTCAACTAACCTACTGGTGAATGTCACCTCTACCATCTTCATGTCTTTTAGCAGTTTTAATCTATATGGCTGCTTGGGATTCAACCAGAACTTGCCAGCATCTCTGAAAACAAGAGGTTGGCTATGGAAAAACTCAACTTTGCTGTTCTTGTGAGCACGGGAGAGAAGACAGTGAAAGAAAGGCTCAGGTAGGAATTTCTTGAAAAACACAAAGAACTTTTTATCTGAGGAGCTGTCGCTCCACAACTGAGTGTTCTCATCTGTAGAAATTGGCAACAGTGCTGGAACAAAGAAAACTGGGGCCAGAGGTTCCTCATTTACAGGAGCCTTTTGGTATGTCAAAGGGCAGATCAAGTCATATTCTTCGAGGAATGCAGTCACATCTTCCTTATTTTCCTGCACCACTTTTGAGAGGATACTCTCTAGTAGGGGTTGTGTCAGCATTCCTTTGTTGCACAATAGGTTCCAGTGACGTCTGTAACCTCTTTGAGGAAACCCTTCAGGTTGTTGAGTGACAAGTCTGATGATAATATCAATTAGTATATCAGGATTAAGCAGAACCCTCTTTGGCTCTTTGTCGAGGTACATAATAAAACCCTTCTCGTGAAAGTATTTCAGTGTCTCTTCAGTCCAGTTGGTGCAAATGAAATTGTCAAATACAGTAGGAAACTCTTCTAACATCACACAGACTTTTGCTCCCTTGTCACCCTTCATACTGATGAGGGCATCCTGGATCTGGATCCAAGAGAGAGGAATGTTCCGACCAATAGTTGTCTTAAGTTCCTCTACAGTGGCCATGATTGCTCTCTGAAAAGTTTGAATCCCAACATCGTTTTGACCCAAGGAGTTTTCAACAGGAAAAAAAATAAACCCATACTCTTTGTTTACAACCAGATCATCACAAAAAAGATCCCAAAAGTTTTCCTTTAGATGGTCATTGATTCTTTCCATAGTGGATCTCTCCATGTTGCCTCTATGTGTTCCCACAAGGAGAACTGGAGTACTTGGTGGCATGTGGCTACAAACAGACTCAAGCCAAAGGTGGAGACTCTTTATATTTGCAGACAAGTCTCTGAGACTATCCTCCGCAAACTTTGCCATGTTAAATACAATGACATAAATAGCTTGACTTCTCAGAAACATGTGAAAGTAGGCATGGTACTCTTTGTCTCCAGCAAAATCAAGAATCTTAAGCTTCAAAGAAGACCACTTCTGATTGAGTGCATTCTTCAATCTTTTGTGGTCTATTATTGCTTTTTCTAACTGAACAGCAGTCAACATATTTTGACCTTCGTGGTCATGGCCAGATGCTGATATTGCAAATGCCAACCAAAAGTATTCTTCGTATAGTGTATCACAGAAAAGAACGAAAACCATGGAAAATCTCTCATTTGAATTGAGAGGATGTGCGAAAACACATAGAAGACAAATAACCGCTGACATCAATTTTGCCCATGGAGACTTGCACTCTTGTAGTGATTTTAGAATTCGAGGCATCGACTCTGCCAAGAAAGCTGCATAGTAATAGAATAGCGTCACGATAGAAACCTGGTCTAGAATTTTTGAATGAAATACACCAATTAATATAACAAAAATGAAGCCTATAGAGGTGTTGAAGACGAAACGACTAAAGAAGATTACTTCTACTGACCTTTTATTATTAAATTTCATTTGACCTGGATGGGGGCATTTTCGCTCCAAAGCAAACGATCGTGGGCCTCTTAAAAGTAAAAAAGCGATGTACCCAATTGCGATAACTGTCGCTACAAAGAGGAGAGCTTGAAGAATTGCAGGTTTGGATAGCTCGCCGTAATTGATTTCATGGACAAAACGTAGCAACACAACAGAATGAAATGCTCCTATTATTAATCCACGAGGGTTGATCATAAAACAGCATAAGCTCATCTTTAATCTCCAATCTTCTTTTGGAGAGAAAACACACCAAGTTCCAAAAAGATCGAAAAAAAGTTGGAAAAAAAACATACAAAGGACGCCCACGAGGAAATCTTTTTTGGGGGTATCCGTAATTATAATTGTTATTGCACAAAAGATAATAAATATCATTAGCGTTAGAAGGAGACGACTGTTGCTTTTCCAAAACCTAGATTGCTGAAAAATTACATTTCCAGCCCTTCCATAAAGCATTAATTGAATAAGAACTTCTACATAGAATCGGTTTACGCTTCCAAAAATGAGATCCTTCATATCGAAGTTGTGCCATTTCTCATCAACAAGACTTAGCTCAATTCCTCGCGTTTTTGGCTCCATTTCGTCGAAAGGCTTTCCAGTGATAGCCCTAACCAGACTTGTTTTTCCAACTCCAGAGTCTCCTAGAACCAAACACTGTCCTTGGTTGACGAAGTGTTGACACGTTTGCTCTGTTTGACTAGGGTCTCGTTTTAATCCTGCTTTCTCTATCAATTCTTCCCACGTTCTCCTTCCTTGTGGTAGCCGCTGTTCCAGTCGCAATCTCTCCATTATATTGCTGTGCTTATCGAGAGTTTCAGTTTCAGTGACCACAATGCGCTGAAAGTCTAGGCCCGTATTGGGATCCATGGTTAAAAGAAATGAATATATTTTCCAGTTTTGGGTTGATATTTTCCCGACCTCGTTTCCAGGACCAGTGTTATCTCTGAAAGAATGTCACGCAATGCTAGACGGTACAGCAAACAGTACTATCGTAGCTTGCACATAATACTCATTAAAGACCTCTTCGTCGTTTTTTCTATATACATAAAAACGATAGGTATCTCATTAAGGAAAGTTCCGTTTACACACTGGATCTGAGGGTCTTAATGAGGTAATGGGGTAAAAATTCAACCAGATGGTGTGCTCTTGCATAGGAAAGACACTCATCTATCTTAGTGCCTTCCTTCACACAGGAGAAGAAGTGATTGCAGGCCAGCTGTCAGGGAAACTGGCTTTAGACCAGACTTGACTTGGCAGTGACCAAGTGCACTTATTTGTGGAAACAGGAATGAATTGTTGTAATGACTACAGAATTGTTTTTTTTATTTTTAACTATGACTTCTCTTTTGTAAATCAATTTTCCCTCCTTCACTTTCCACCAATTATCTGATTATCTGTTTTTTTTTACCGATGAGGTGAGGAAGAGCAAACATATTAAGAGGTTGCAATACCCTTTCATGATATAGGTAGGATTAAAAAGTGGGAACACGAAGAGTGAAAGGGCAAAGATCAGAAAAAGAAAAAAAACAGGACAAGCGTGAATTTAAGAAAAGTACAATTTTATAAGGTTTCATTAACTATCCCTGTAAATATGGTCAAGTTCCTTCTTTTTCAACTTTGTTAACACTCTATCTTTTTCAAAAATTTACACTTGTTTCTGAAATATTACGAAAGTAAAAAGTTAAAATTGTTCTGAACCCTTTAACTCCCAGAAGTGACCAACATGTTACTTCTCCTTATAATAACCGTAACAACAAATTCTGGTGACTTATTTACAGCTAGAGGGGAGAATCAACAATCAGATCTTGGGAGTTAGAGGTTAAGCTAAACAGATATTGGTGATATCAGTGATGCTAAATATCTAATCACCACAAATATCACTGACTCTTCCAATAATTAGGCTAACCTTTTGAACAAAATGCTAATCCAGCATGCTGGGAGCCTTCAACAGGCATATAACAATGACCCTCCTTATGACAAAAGTCAAACAGTTTACAGTAAATCTTAGGAAGCATGCTCGATGCTTGACAGATGGTGGGAATACTTTGCATTGGATCAGAGTCAGCTCACAAATACAAATTCATTTATGATGGTTACGTATGGGATAAATCAGCTCTATTAAAATGTTTGTTTTATAAGAAGACTATCATGACACATCATCTTAGGCATCTCTTATACCACCCTTTACCACAAAGATTTATCAAGGAACAAGCATACCCCCACTGGCTTTTGAGAGTATTTATTATCCAGTAAGTACTTTGTGAACTGATAAATGAAAACTATGGCAGAGAAGCAAACTACAAAATACATCATAACTAAAATTCATGAAAGTGAAGTTAGCACTCCTACCAAAGGATATAAATTGGAATGAAGTGGCCATGAGCTAATTAGTGGGCTTTTAAAGTCACTGTGCTAATTTTCAAGTTTACAACTCAGGCAAACTTGATCACATTATTTCTTATGTTATGTATGAAGCTGTACAGTCAGTCAACATCTGTATGCAAGGAGATAGTGATCTGTGTGGCCAGATGAGTTGTGATATGTATGTTTATCATGAACACACATCATAATTATCTCTTTACCTACAACATATCACCTGCAAAGAACAAAGATCATGCACATAAGTTAGATGTCTGGATTTAATGTCACCATAGCTAGGGTATCCACTCTATCAGCTCATCCTCAAAACACTGGTTTACACAGTACATGAAAGGGATTTTATCTCCCTTACGTCCAGGCATGATGTTATACACATGTA